CCTGAAGTCAATGCTCCAGAGCCTTCCAGACCCTACTCTTGCATTTGGGCAACATGATTAACACTTCCTGACAGATTCAACCAACTTGTTCAATTGTCCTTTGAATGTACTTTATAAATTTGGACTCACTGTACTAATGAGTACTAAATTTTAATTATGTCATATGAAAAAATGTCATAAGAAAAAACTGTTTTCCTTTTAAACATGGTGTCTGACAATTATACTCAATGCTCTTGAGAAACAAAGAAGAAACCAAGAAACAGTGAATAATCTCCTTCAATATTCTCTCTTCCATGCCACCTGTAGTTTTGTACACTTACTCCACTCAGTTATTTCTTTCAAATTTAAATTCTCTTTATGTCTTCTCAGTATCTGTTCTACCCCTTTTGCAGATAGGCTGGAATTCYACCAATCCCTCAGTGCTGTAACAGCCTGATATAACTTTTTGCTATTACCTTTAGCTTTGATTATTCTAATAATCAAAGTAAAAGTATGCTGGCACAGGTCAGAAAAGGACCTTGCAAATGTGGCAGACATACTTGTGAAACTAAATCATTATTTGAACAATACAAAGATCAGAGAGGGTTAGAAAGCAATATCTGTGTCGCTCTAATCTGCTGCCCGGAAAAGTAAACTCTTATCTTCCAAAATCTTTGTTGACACAAGCAGAAATATCACACAAAAACTTTTGCTATTTCCTGCCCTCTGTTAAGACACTTAAAAAATTAAACCATTTGATTTAATACAGTGCGGGCATTGTCACAACTAATGTAGCCACTGACAGACTAAGGAAATCACAGACACATGTGTTAACATGCAAAAAAAAGACTGAGTGCCACAAAGGACCACATACTCCTGCTGTCAAGGTCAATGAAGTCTGTGAGCATTATAGGGGTGAAACATTCAAATCTCCAGGGATCAAGATTAAAGATGATATTAGCTTTAGAAGAAGGAGAGCATCTTGTTCTTCAGCAGGAGGTCTACTGCCTAAGATGCTGCCCTGGCAACTGATGCGCTGTATGAAAATATCAGATAAGACAGAAGTAAAAGCTGAAATGATGAGTGGGTAGTGGACAATGAAGGAACACAAGGAAATCAGAAAYTATCTTTTTCTTGCAAGCGCTTAACTACTCAAAAATCTTTGAAGTTCCTAACTCCTGCTTCTCAACTTTCTGGCTAATTGATTTTTGTTCTTCCTAAAACCATCACTTTAATTAGCTCCCAAGTTGAGCTACTATGTAAAGAGTTTGCATTTTCTTTTTACTATATGCGAAGACCACTCACTTCAAAAATATGTATTCATTAAAAATAATGAGTGATTTTGATATTACTTAAATATATTCAAATGGCATAAGTTTAAAAAGTGTCTTTTATTTTTATCAAGATTTAATTGCTTAGAATCGTGACATTAAAAGCCATACACTTAAATATCAGAAACATTCCAAGTTGATTAAGTTTTCAGAACTACAGAAGAACATTTGTGCAAGCACTGGCATATACTAGGTCAAATCCTTTAGTTAAATGACAGATTGGTGTTTACAGTGGTTGCCACAAAATACTTACAAGATATGTTCTTCTTGACAAGATAAGGTAAGCAGCATGGATTAAAAATTAAATACACAAAACATTATGTTATTTATTCAAAGATTATATAGCAGTTTCTTCAATGGCTGAATGTCTCTCATATAAACCTTGCCTTGCAATTGAGGTAAATGCTGTATCACAATCAGGAGATGGAATAAATCACAAGAAAAAGCTCTTTTTCTTTTGTGTCTTCTAAATAGATTTTTTTTTAATTTTATCTGAAAAAATGATTTTTTTTTCTTGTTGTTCTGACCACTTCTTGTTCTGACCACAGGGAAACAGACCACTCTCTGCTGAATTAAAGTGTCTCTCATGCAAAGAATCTCATCAATCCAAATATAGATTTAACAGAATCAGCTTAAGATTTACTAGTGCCATTGACAAATGAATATGATGTCTTTGATTGTAGAGTTTGTAGAGATTGTAGAGAGAATGACACTGTTCTAATGTAACACAAATAAACATCTCAATTATTTCTCTAATGTGCTTAGTACATTGTTTTTAAGGAGAAACATGGATAGGACATGTCTATCAAAATATTTAGGTTATTACTTGATTCAATTCCACTTAAAGTTCACAGTTTTGCAAGCAATTTATAATTAGCATTCATTTCTCATGCATGAGTTGACCCACTTACACAATACAGTAAAGCCATGCCTTTGGGGATTGTTCTGGATGGCTTATTTTGCATCCACCACACGATTTCAAATCATTTTATATCGTCAATACAGGCAACAAGGTTACCGTCATCCTGTCAAAATTATTTATTTAAATTAGAAGCAGAAAAACTATACTATTCCCTGTGCAACTGCACTGAAAACTTTTTGTAACTCTGAAATATATTTTAACATCATGAAAAACTCTGTAAGTTTCATAAGCTTCTCATTTTACAACAAAACAGTGATCCAGGGGAAAAAAAAGCAATTTTTACAGTAATTTCATCTATAAACCTATAAAAAACTTCCAAAATCCTAGAAAAATCTTATACATGTAAAGATGCACCTAAAAGCATCTTATGATTGATAAAATGGAGAGAAAAGAAGTTTTCTAACCTTGCCTATAGAATAAAGCCAGATGGAATACACCAGTTTAAGAAGCTTACTTCAGCTACTAGAGATTCATTTAACCTAAAATATTTCTTCTTACATCTTTGAAGAGTTTCAGTTTCAGATATGCAAGGAGTCTTTTGAGGCCACTTCATTGGGAAGCTGCTGAAAGGGAGACTTTCACAGTCATAAATTGTCCCGAGGTCATCTGTCAATTCCCAGGCTGCCATTCAAACCCAAATAGACTCATGTCTGATAGAAAAACACTTCCATTTCAGCCAATTTGCTGATGTGGATTTTCTCTAACAAATTTGCAGCTTATCAGAAGTTCAATATAAGTTGGGGTTTAGTGTTCCCGCAGACTTTTTCTCACCTGAGCGCCTGAATGTGTATGCACATTATAAATATCTATTTTTAATGCTAATAGTTTTTTTTTTTCAAAAGTAGTTGCCTCCCTTAGGCAGTTTTTTCCTCAATTTTTCAATGAAAATGTTTTTCGGCTCTTTCAGCTGACAAATTGTGCATCTTTCTGTCTATTTCTATAAAAGAAATGGTCTTATAACAGTGTCACTGAGACTGTCTAGCACTTTCTGTCTTCTGGAGGATGGAATCGACTTTCAGCAGGTAAGGAATGTCACCACGTAAGGGTTTTATTTATTTATCTATYTATTTATTTATTTATTTATTTTCTGCCCTCATGGAATATTACTTAACGTGGCTGAGTTTGCTGCTGTTGCCTGCTCAGGAGAATTCTTCCAGTAGTTAAAGTCAACTAAATTATTCACTCCCATCAGTACTGACATATTACTACATAATGATTGTAATGAGTATCTGACATTTCAAGGACTATCCTTCAATTCAGCCTTTCAGGGTTTAAAAATTTCTGTTTCTTCCCAGCTATTGAGACCTACTTGCAACACAAATCACAGGGCTAAGGAAAGGAGACYGAGAGAGGAAATATTTCTCAGATCTGAACACATAGAATGAGGAACAGAAGACTATGTAAAGGGCTCATGGAGGTAACTGCAGTAATAGCATAAAAAGGCAAAGAAAATGGAACAAATGTGGGAAACCATGGATGAGAGCAGAAGAAAGCAGAACAGAAAAATGAGAGAGGTAGGCAAAAGCACAATGAGTAGCATACCATCGTATAATTCAAGACTTTTTGAACACATAAGTAAACAATTCATTCACTTGGGCAAATTTATCACTGTTTTTCTAACTTACTACATACTACTTCCACAATAGTACATTAACAGGKTTTTTTTTTTAAGTGGAATACACATTGAGATTTGAAATGCTTTCACACAGATTTCTATCTTCTCACTCACCAAAAGTGCTATCTAAAGCATTATTTACGTTTCCTTAGACTCCTCATTCCTCAACCATGTGTTCAGCCATTTTATAAATTTCTGAAAAGTGTACAATACTATAAAGCTGTATCTGCTTGCAAAAATTACACATGGCCACTGCAAATGAATAGGATATTTTTGCTAAGTCATTTCTGAAGCATCTACTGGGACTCTGCACTCAAAAGTATCATTATTTCTGCTTACTCACTATGAAAAGTGTAATGGATATCCCTTTAAGTTCAACACAGAAGTATTAGAGGACTAGATGATACGGGCTTCTCAGAATCTGCATTTGTAATTATTTATGAGAAGTAAGACTAGAAACAAAAACTGGAAATGCAGCTAGGGAAATGCAACTAGGTTGGAAATGACTCTGTGTGTATTTATTCATCGCACAGTTGGACCCCCACCATGTTACAGAAATCCATCTGTATTAACAGGGGAAATGACATATCCAACCTCCTAGCTTTCAACCATAAAAAATGCTATTGAATTCAACTGACAGATACTTCATTGCATGAGTTATATGTGGCATATCTGAAATGCAGTCCTGTGGGATTAAGCCTGCCGAATACCAAATAATGAAGAGATCTTGGAGCTGCAATTCATGTTACACTGCTAGAGGAACCAACGGAAGCAGAAGGCAGTCAGTGCAGAGAGCCTGCGACATCTGCTCCACGCATGCAGCAGCTCTTAAACTAGACAGCAAGTGCTATTCTTTTTATGAAAATAGACACAGTTGTCATTTATCATTAAATGCATATCTTTCAAATGACTCAGCCACAAAAATCATGTTTAGGAATATAAAGACATTCAGATAAAGTGTGAATCACTTCAGAAGCAGTGAAAAATCCCAATGTTGCCTTCAATAATATAAGCTCTTTTTTGTACACAATTTTACATGCCTACCCAGTCTCTCCGTTGATGTGCAATGGTTGGCTTTGTGAAATGCAGACATTCATGTTGCTGTCAGTTTTTCTTGTTCCCTTTCATGCTATTCTTCTTTGCTTGAATTCAATGGGGAGGTGGGAAGTCCCTTAGAAACGAGTATCTGCAGGCTTTACACTGTGAATCCTACAAACGGAGCTCCAGGCCTTTTTGTTAACATCTTCTCCTGCCAATTTTCTCTACAATCTGTTTTGGCAATTTGAGAGAGCAGTTTATGTTGGAGCAAATAAACAGGTTGAACAAATGTGCCAATACTTTCCAAACAGGGGCTAGAGGAACCATGGGTCTAATTTCAGATACGTAGATGTGCATAAGTACAGTATCGATATGTTCTTTTTCCCCTCCTTTAGTTGCTACATAAAGATGTTTGAATCATATCTGATGCAGTACTCATTATTTTCCATAAAACAGGTGTTTAGCTCTTTCACATCAAGGGGAAAATCCTTCTCTTGAAGCTACATAAATTTTACTCAAGACAGCATGTAACTGGAGGCAGAATGCGACCTTTGCTACTTAAAAAAAAAAAAAAGTAACATTTTTTATAAAATGAAAGACAATAAATATTTCTTATTCAAATCCACATACTCTGCTTCAGAGAACATATGCTAAAAGATTTTAATTTCAAGAAAAACTTGTATAAACCAAAAAATATTTCTAAAGAAATTTAAAATTTACCTAAGTATTCAATTAATGTCTATAAAGTAATTTTCATATAGATAAACAAAAAAGTCTGCTAATTTATCTCTTGGAACATTAGAGTGATTAAAGAAAAAATAGTTGGCACAATTTGCAACTTTTCTACTACTAGCAGGATCTCAGGCTCTCTAACTTGGCATCTGAAATCAGTACAAAATTCAATTCCCTGCATAAGGCCCCCCAACAAGGTGAGTCAAAGCATTTATCTCCACTGTCTAGGGACTCTTGTTCCTAATTTAAGATCTTGACCAAAATGGGATACTTCAGGAATGTGCAAAATTCATACAAATTTCATCATTTCATCTTTTTTTTTTTTCCTGATTTTGTTTTATTACCTTAACATAGAGTTTCCATTTCCTGTACACTGGAAACCTGCCTGGGGAGGAAGTGAGGGGGAGAAAGAGGAGAGGGGAAGGGAAGGGAAGGGAAGGGAAGGGAAGGGAAGGGAAGGGAAGGGAAGGGAAGGGAAGGGAAGGGAAGGGAAGGGAAGGGAAGGGAGGAACATAGAAGTGAAGTTAGGGCCTTTGTTTTGCTAGCTCTCATAGGGAAGAGGAGCATGGATGTGTGCTGCTTCTTGCTCCCACATGACTTAAGTTCATATAATATATAGGATGANAAGGGAAGGGAAGGGAAGGGAAGGGAAGGGAAGGGAAGGGAAGGGAAGGGAAGGGAAGGGAAGGGAAGGGAAGGGAAGGGAGCCACATGTAAGTGAACTTAGTGCCTTTGTTTTGCTAGCTCTCATAGGGAAGAGGAGCATGGATGTGTGCTGCTTCTTGCTCCCACATGACTTAAGTTCATATAATATATAGGATGAATGCAGAAGTGAGAAATGCTTACACATCGGGAGAAATGCTTACAAGTGGAAGGAGGCCTAATGTTATGCAAGCTCCCAGGTAGCTCCTTCTAGTCTACAACCAAGMCAACTAGCCAACACAAGCCCTTATCTTAACAAAACCTTTTCATTCTAWCAACTTGTACAAGCACTTTTTTGTTGTACAGTTGACAGACAGCTGCTAGGAACAGATTTAAGAAAGAGCAACTTATTTCACATAGGATAGGAACACATTTCAAACCATATCTCTAGATACAAAAGTGTAATGTCAGGAAATTGCACTTCTTTGCTGCAAGATGTTGCAAGCGTCCATCTATCCCAAAGGAAGTAGTATTGAATTGAGATTCTACTTCTTCATTAAGCCATGCGTCATAACAGATCAATATATAGATTTTCACCATCATCTTTAATTACTCWGTTCATTTTGCAACCTTATATTTATTGTTGTAAGAACAATTTACAGTTAAAGTTATTGGTTAAAAATCACCAAAAATCTCTTTTTTTTTTAAGTTTCAAAATATTTGCTTTCATACTTTCGTACTCTAACATTTTGAAAGATTTTCTAAAAATACTAACACATTTCTCTGCATGAATAGTATAACTTTATTTCTGTATGAACCACACATTTGCTGTAAAAAGCAGTGACATCTGCAGTAGAACTTACGGTATTTTTATATTTGAAATAACTAAAAAGATCCTTACATTCTGAATCATATATACCAAAGTTTAAAATATATAGACAATTTGAAACACTCCTTGAACCATGGAAAGGGTGCTCAAAATACTGCAAACCTGACTTGAAAAGAAGCTAGTTAGTTAATGCAGCTCTCCCTGTATTAATCTAGGCCAGCCAACTACTATGCCTGGTTTATGTCTTTCAAATTAACTGAATGTTAAGAAGTTGTAATGGCTGTAGCTGGAGTAGCTGATCCTAAAAATCCCAGAAAGGCCCTGTGATTCCTTCCAACCACTATTTGGTATTGCCTTAGAATTAGACTCCTACGGCGAAAAAAGAATGAGATGCGATGGGGTAAATTTCATTCTCTTCTAAGGAACTTCATTCTGGGCCCTGATACATCCATCATTTCACAAAACAAATTCCATTGCTCCAAACCAAGTCTTCACAGGCAATTTTGCTGGTGGCAAAACAGCAGATGAAATCCGACCATCCCTCTTTCAACTCTCTCTCTCCTCATGTCCTCCACTACCTATTTTCCTTGTAAGTTCTGCATTACTGATAGCATAAAAGTTTAATTAATGAGAAAGCGTCAGAGCGTTACAAAATTCATGTATGCTGTAGAACAAGCATCTTTGTAGGAAGATAAAAGATGGTACTTGCTAAAGATCCCTAATAGATAGGATCTATGTCTATTTACAGCAAAAATAGCAACAAGCATAACTATTCACTTACCTTTCTGTTACAATTTTTTTTCAAATAGGTCTTTGAGAAGTTTCTGATACATCAAGGTGAAATCAAASCAAAACTGAAAATTAAATATATATGTTAGTGCTTTTCTATTTTACTATATATGAAAAGCAAAACCAATTGAAAATCATAAAACTGCTTACCTTTCAATGTCTCGATACCTTATTTAGATCCTTAGTCCATTATGTATACTGTTCATCTGCTAAATACAGAAACTACTCTGTGTGAAATGCATTTTATCATGAAGGAGTTTTCTAATTAGATTCAATTTGTTGCCTATGCAGAATTATCTTTCTATGATGTACTACAGTAAATCAAACTATTATTTTAGGGTAAGCATTGCTGAAATGCACCTTCCTCTATCATGCAAAATTTAAAATTTCATTTTATCATGCAAAATTAATTTTTTTAATAGAGCTCATGACTCAAAATCTGTGTCAGCTACATACCTCAAGAAAATAAAATATTTAATATTAGGATTAGATAATTAGGGATGAAGACACAGGACCAACCACAGAAGAAAAAAAAAAAAAAAAAAGGAAAAAAAGGAAATATTATTCACATCCAAAGAAAAAAATCTTGATCTGAAAAGGCAGATAAATATTTGCTGATTCAGGAGCCACACAGTATCATAAATGACACCATCTTCTCTTGTGCTAGAAGAGAAACCCCTTGGTCTCACTCAGAATTGCAGCTTGGAAGAAAACATTCTTCCCGCCTYACAAAACCTGTGGAATTTGCTTTTATTTTCCCCATGGAAAAAAAAAAAAGTCAAACCCAACATGTTCTGAGCAAGAGAGCGAGAAAGAGTATGGAAGCAACTGCGTCCCACTGTTCAGTACTCCATTGCTGAGGTCTTGGGCTCAGCAGATCCAGATTCAGTGTTGAGGTTTGCCAGTTCCCAAATACCCCAGCCATAGGAACAAGGTTCTGAGCCTCTCCTCGCCAAGTGGCTCTCTACAAATCATTATGTATTCATTAGAGCACTGCTCATTCATCTCCCTGGTGTGCTCCAGAATAACACTGCACAACGAAATTGCTCCTGCTCTAAGAAGCTATGTAGGTCACGGGAGGACCCAATTTAAGCCCCTGCTCTGAATAGAAATGTATCTGGCTAAAACCAGGGACTTCCTGAAGTTACTCAGATCTCAAATGAAAGACTTAATGGCTTTTTGCCACTCTGAACGACACATCTGTCTTTCTCTCAAACTAGAATTTTAGTTAGTATCAAGGTATGAGYTATATAAACTTATATATAAAWATATATATATACACACATATATACATATCTATTATACTTATTTATCTTGTATTGTATATATGTATATATGCATTTATTTATATATATATTCATAAAATAACATTTTTATATTTATAAAAATACAGATATATATGTGTGATTTTTATATTATATGTATAACATATGCATATCACACCTGTATAAAAATACATATCCATGTGTGTGCATAATCTATTTATCTATATATAGAGATATAGATATACTACAGATATAAATGAGAAACATATTAAGATCTTGTCTTACTTACCCACAGGGTCATTTGAATTGCTCTGGCCCAGGGCTCCAGACGATGACCCCTTTATTTTTTCACCCCAAACACCAGCCCTAGATGCCAAGATCCTGGATGCCAAGATCTTAACCAATGAAGGTTTCAGCAAGAATGTTATACATTGCCATTACTATAATAAACTAGTATTTTTCAGTGACTTCTTTCTCAAAAACATACCAACTCAAAAAACATGCTTTTCTTCCAGGTAACTAGCTCAAGAATTTTCCTTCAATCATCCTTGCACCAGTCTGTCTAATGGCATGCAWCTCTCTTACCAATACACTGAACCATTAAAAAAAAAATTCTCAAAATAATCTATGGAGACAAGATCTAGCACCACTAGAAACAGCAGTATGAAAGCTAGGAAAAGYTAACGGCAGTAATTCTGTATTCCATCTAGCTCACAGGAGTTCATACCCATCATAAGGTGTATTACTTATTGCCCAATACTCCATCATGCATTCAGCTAAATACACTACATGGGAATAGAGTAAAAATAAGTAATTTCCCAATGAACAAATAAATCAGGCAAAATCCCATTATAAATATTCCACTCCTTCAAAAGCATTCACCATTCACGTTCTAAGCTATGAAGTTCATGATTAAGTTTTCTGTGCCATTCCTTTCTCCTCTTGCAGAATATTATCTTGCATGTATTTTCTTTTAAAAGACTTGATATCAAAGTTTGCTTATAGAAAATTCCATCTTGCAAGTTATGCTAATTTTGACAACACCTGCTTAAAAAAAAGTCAAAATTTAGAGCTTATATAATTTACAGTTTGTATATAAATAAAAAGTTATGAAACTATTCATATTTGCTAGCAGATCTACTAAAAAAGTGAAAAATTCCAAATCATTTTAGTATATAAACACTATGAGTATAATTAATGAAAGCTGGAGAGGTGAACACACATTGCCAATGTGCTGTACAAGTGCTTGGCGTAAAGTTACACACACTCCAAAATCTGGCATACACCAACCAGTCACCCAAATCAGTTTCTTCACTCTCACAGACTTCAGCAGAAACAGCAGCAACCATGCCGTTTCCTAAGCACACTATCTCTCCATCCACAACCACTTTATGGGGCAGGCACATACATTACTGATTTGTTCCTGAGTCCTTTTCAGTCTTTGCAATTCTGGCGTATCCGTCACAATACTGAATCCTCTTCCTTTGCTTTCTTCAAAGTCTCTCTTGTATTTTACCTAAAGAATAGAAAAWATAGAAGAATAGAGGGTTTTATTATTTTTTACCACATGCCCTTTTTACAGTACTTGTGAGGGGCTTTCAGCTCCAAAAGGAGCCTTCCTTTATTCACAGAACAGAGACAAGCTTTACCAGGCAAAATTCCATACTATCCATGCAATGTGCCTCGTGTTGTTCCAGAGTTGTGTAGAGAAGACCACTCCCCATAATCAYTTCATTCTCAGAGCAGTAACAACAGAGCTACAGATGCAGTAACTAGCAAGCATTTATTTTCACAAGAAATATAGTTTTCATTAAATCTGTGGTCCTCTAATGCACAGTTTCACATTCCAGCCTCTCTTTGAAATGAGTCTACCATTCTCTTCTCAAGTGGAAACATAAATTATACCTTAAGAAAAAAAAAATCATGTAAAAAATACCTAGAAGTTTGCAAAATCGTACATCCAGAGCTTTGGAAATTGTTACATGTACAAGCTTAATTTGTCCTTCTTGCTTATATTTATTGGGATTGTCTTTAATCCGATAATAATATATATCATCCTTAAATAGCCCCCATACTTTATTCTGTACATAGGAAAGASAGTTTCCAGATTAGACAATTCAAACCTTGCTGTCTATGTAGGAATCTAAGTTTCTTCAAGAGCTTGTCTATAGCTCTCATCGTTATCATTAATCTGCCTTTACAATGTGCCCTCTAAAGTAGAACTAGTATTATCTGCACTTCACACATGGTAGCCTGCAAACTGAGGCAAAGAAATCTTAAGGTCAGAAATACAGGAGTTTGAGGTTGTTCTGTCCGAAAGCCCTAAGACTTGAGTATGTTCAAAATACAGTTGGATTTAAGTTATTTCTGTGAGTATTCAGCATTTAACAAATCACTCCTGAGGATCATAATTTAAACACAGAGAATCAGGATGAAATCTGCMATTTCTTGTATAAGACATTGTTAAGCCATAAAGAAAATGATAACAGAGCTAGAGTTAAAACTGTGTCTCCATGTCTGGATTCATCTAACTTATCCATAAAAATTTCCTTTCACTTCCTGTGTCCCCTTCCATTTACTACACATCCAAATTTTGTAATATACCAGAGAGGTATTCTACAAAAAAAATATTACATAACAGACAAACAGAAAATGTCCAATTTACGCAATGAACTGTTAAGAGTTCCAGGTTAGCTTTGCAGGGCTACAAAAGAAAGTTTGTCCTGCCCATTCTAATTTTAGATGTATTCATACTCTTTTTGTAAACTTTAATATAGTTTTAGTATACATAATATTTTCATTAGACAAGATTCCAGTGCAACATTCYCAAGACAACAGTCAAGTTCACACATAACCTTGGAGCTTTAGGTCCAGCACACAGACATACTAATGAGGAACCTATAGAGGTTCCTGCACAGAACCTCTAAAGATAGCTGGAATTCACACATAAAAAACTAGATTTCATAAATACATTCTTTTCAAGCTATCCTTGCACTAACAAAACAGTGTATCCAGTCAAGATTTTGCAGGAAGAGTARACTGCTGGTGGACCACGGTGTGCCCTTCTGTTCGTCTTCTACGGATCTTCATCCCCACTGCACCTCCCTGTCACTCAGTCCATCATTATCAGTCATTGCTCCAGGCTTCTAAACTAATCTAGTCCATCTTGCAGGGACTTCTTGCTAAATCCCTTTACCAGGGTACTTCAAATACTTTTCTTAAATAAGCTTTCTCTGTTGCCTTTTCTCATTCAGCTACCAGATCGCTCTGGGTCTTCCCATTGACTCTCAAAGGCTTCCTTGAACATAATGTATGGACAGATTATTCCAGTCTGCTGCTAGAATGAAAGAGGCCTTTCTGAGCACATGCAAACTTTGATTTCTTGAAGTCATGTAAAACTTCACTAAACTGGGACAGATTTTTACTGCAAAGACTCATCCCTAACACAAGCAGTTCTCTCATTACACCAAGCTTCAGCTCCTCAGCCCAAAACACTAAAATAACACAGACGCTCCACAAAAATAAATAAATAAATAAATAAATAAATAAATCTCAAGAATTTTAAACAAGAGAATAAAAATCTATCCTAGTCCCAGTCCTGTAAACAGCTGAACATTTTGTATAAAAACTCAAATTTGACCAGGGCATACAGCTGACCTGGAAACGTTCAGCCTTACTTAAATTTTAGCAGAATTGTAAGCAACTAAAAACATCATCTTATAATGGGAAACATGCTTTATAATGGGAAACACACCCTGACCATACCTATTGTATGAAACAGCATTTCCTGTTATTAGTTCAAAATGTACCAGTCATTAACTCCAATGACCTTTATTCATTTTAYAAAGGAACAAAAGAAGAAGAGAGGGAGGGAACTCAGTAGTTTTAACTTCATGTTATTTTAATCTATCAGTTGCATAAAGGGGCTCCTATTCTCTATTAATAAATCACAAGAGTAAGAAGGTTAACTGTATCCTTCAGAACTACCACTCCACCATCATTCAAAAAAAATTTAATTAACAAATTTTATACAAATAAATATAATAAATTTAATAAAAAAAATAAACAAATAAATTTAATAAATATTTTTAAATTGTGAGGTTTTAATTAAAAATATAGATGTACCAAAATAGAATTGTTCTTATTCTAAAATCTAGGACTAAAGTACAAATCAATGGATTTAAATCAATTTTGATAAAGAACACTCTCTATACAAGTAAATATCACTGTAACGAATGATTTAAATAACTGAAACCCTTGAAATTTAGTTTTGCAGTGGAAATGTCTATACTCCCTAATAAAAGTATCATAAACCCAGTCATTTCCTAAAAAGTTGTTTTTTAGCAACTCAGCCCCACTATCCCAGTGAGTGGTTAGCAATGCCTCCCTCTTGGCTCCAAACCTCAGTGCAGTCTCACAAATGCAGAGCACCCTCAGTGGCAAGTGCCCTCAAAAACTGATCCTCTGAGAAACAACGTGTGGCATAAACATTAGCAATAAAGCACTAATAAATCATCTTCAATGAAAAAGTTTAAAGAGAAAATACTTGTCAAGGCATAATTCTGCAGTGAGGGAACTAAGTGATCTAACAGATCTTGAAGAAATCAAACTTCTCATATTCATGCCATCAGCAAGATACCTTCTTTGAGAGGCCCTGCTGACACAGGGCTGTGTGAAGCCATTCAAAGACAGAACTCCCATCTTCTCGCTCTGTACATAAAATCTCACGCTGGAGAAAATGCTGCTCAATTTCAGCGTTGCAGGTAWCCTTTGCCATTTGGCAGCAAAGTCATTGGCAAGAAGAGATTTTTTTTCCCATGGAAAAAAAAAAAAACATTAAAAATACAAATGAAGCATAAAAGATTGATTATTCTCTTGTCTCTTTTGGCATCTTGCCTTTGCCCAGAATCAWTTGCAAGAGCAGGAGCCCCAAGCAGCAAATCAGTTGCATGAGCGATGTAGGCGTCTGGAAACACCAAGTGCAGAGCTGGAACTCAACACAGGTACCATCAGTGAAGGACTGAATGATACACCCATCAGGAATGTTCTTCCTTTCAATTCTACCTCACAAACTTACTCAGTCACTACCAAGCACACATTTCATCTCCAGAAACACAGGCCATGCTGGTTTCCTGCACAGTCGTTCCTCCACTTTCCTGTATAGACCAGGTAGCCATGCCAATAATGTGCTGTAAAACTATGCCCTGGGTCTACCTTGATATCCTGCAATGCCACACAGCCTCTGGCATCATGTGATGACGGAAGGAACTAGTACATGGGTGTTACACCTTATTTGCCCTGAGAAAAACGTTCATAGATCTAAAGTCTTTACCACACCCTGAATATTTATGAGGTTATTTCAGTATGTTGTGCTTAAGGTTTGCCCAGAGCCATCTGCTCCTTCTGCGCCCGGCACACACAACTCCTTCCCAAAGGTCACCATCTGCTAACACGCTGGTTTGTGCGGACTGGCAAGAAATACTCTCCCACGGCATCTTGGCACAGATCTTTGTTTGGATCTGCTGTTTTCACAGACAGAGAGCTCCTGGCTTTGTTGATTTTACGTTGATTACCTTGTCCCACAGAAACTTACTGGCAAGACTGAGAAAAGAATTATTCGGTGTAAATTAGGTTTTTAGGTACATGATTAGAAAAATGTTTAGAGGTAAATCAAATGTAAAGAACAATTCCAACTTGAAGTCAATGAGATATCCTTTTAGCTGGCTACTCTCTCTTATCCAGGATCCTGAAGACTATCCTACCCAGCAAAATTACGTTTCARTGTTCACAGCATTGGCCAGCTTCTAATATTACATGGAGTAATAAATCCTACTTTTCTCTTGCTAGTATTAGAGGTACTTTTAAGTTTCATTTAAAAGCCAATAGCAGTCAATAACCTATCTGTCCAAGTGGACAGGGCACACTACTTCTCATGGCAGGGAAACACAGTCCTCCCATCATTACTTGATGAGTACTATTACTACTACTGTTGTGCACTGTAAATCTTAACARCCTCCCAGAAAACATGCAAGTGGGCATGACTCAGAGTAATTGTCCTCAAGGTTTTTATGTGAACTGGAAACTATTGGTTGAATATTCCTTAGCTGAGGAAGTCAAGGAGCTCCGAACTCACAAAATGCCACCGATCATAACCCTGGAAACTAYAGAGTTAAGAGTTTCTCCTCTTAGTTTTACTAATCCAAGTCAGATAAAAGAATCTCTACTAAAAGCAATAAAAATTGTAGGGAGTAAAATAGCCACAACTGCAAACAGTACTCCATGTATGCCACTTACTAGTAGTATGGGGAAAGGGATCATTTAGAAAAATCTGAATCTATGARTGTTTTTACTGCATTTGACATAATCAAAGGTAAATTAAACAATGCAGGTTTGGAAGTATTTTGACAGCAGTATTTTGAAAAAGTTTCAAAAGTTTTTAAAAAGGTTTTAAAATGCATGCTGTCATATTCAAATGTTTTTCCTTTAAATACTGTAGAAAAGCCATTTTCACAAGCC